TAACTAAAATACAACTACTAATTATCACCTAATAATTTGAGTCTATGATTATAGATGCAAAAGGTGATGATTCATTAGAATGACACAGAAAACTATGAAGCAGCTTCTTCAGTCCATATTATCATTTTACATTATTTATTTTATTTTTTTAAAATTTTGGTTACAGCTTGATGCCACAACGTATTTTCAGTACAAGTATGGAATTTGCAGCTTGGATATCGGTAGCCCAAATTTTGCAGGCCGACCATAGATATCGGATGTGCGTCGGCAGGGGATCGAACCCCGGACCATGTGCATGGTCGGCGAGAGTCCTAACCACTGTGCCACCAACGCAGTTATTATTATGTTCCGAGTGGAATATAGGGCTTCAACAGTACATCTCCATTTTTTCCTGTTCCTTTTGCAGTCCTCTTTAGGTGGATCCATGACTGACTATTAGTCCTCGTCTCCTCCTCACACTATCTCCTCCATGTTAACCCCGGACCGACCCCAACTCGTCATTCCCCACTCGGGTTCCACTCTCACTCTAGCCTAGCATGCCCTGTCAACGAACGGCCTCCTCAGAGTATTCCCAATCCACCTCCATCTTCTTTCATATATTTGTTGAACAGTCGGTCCTTGGTTGGTTCGATCCCACAGTTTCTTGTCACGAATTCTTTCTAGCCATTCGATCTTTACTATGGAGCGAAGGCAGTCGTTGATAAAAGTCTGTAATCTTCTGAAAATGCTTTACGTGACGCGCAGTTTAAGTTTCTGACCCATAACACTGGTGATGAAAATCCTAATCCTGTTATTTATGCTGAGTGTGGAAGATTTCCAAATTGATTTCAGAGTGATAAAGGTCTACCTAGATAGGTGATCTCTCTCAAATTTCTCCTGTCGACAGTGAATTGTACTGGTTGTTGTTGGTTGGTTGGTTATCTCCATCACCTCCGTCTTCTCTATTTTCACCCGGAATCCTGTCTCTGCTGCATCTTCTACAAACTTGTTGGTTTTCGCCTGCAAGTCTTCGAGTTTGTCTGAAATTAAACATAAATCATCCACACGCGAAATCCAGATGATCTAAAATCGTCTTACCAGTTTTTCGTATTCCTGATTTCTCACCCCCACAACCTTTCACTTGATCCAGTCCATGACAGTTAAGAATATCATGGGTGATAGTAGTAGACAGCCTTAACTTACTGCTGTATTCACTTCAGACGCCTCTCTGGGTTTTCCGTTATGGATCACCTGACATGTGGCACTATCATATAGCGAGCTTTTGAATGAGATTGATAAAGGTTTGTGCATTTCTAATTTAATTTACTGTCAACGCTGTCGAAGGCCTTTTCGAAGTCAATGAAGTTGAGGTAGATGTTTGACTGCTATTCTATGCTTTGTTCGATGATGATGCGTAGAGTTGCAATTTGATCCACAAATGATTTTCTTTTCCTGAATCCAGCTTGTTCCGGACTGGCGGATTTCTGCATCCAGTGCATGTTTTATTCTCTCCAGGATGACGGCACTTAGTATTTTGCCTGGCATGGATAAGAGCATCATTCGGTGCCAGTTCTTGAAGAGGCCTTAGTCGCTCTTCTTTGTTAGTTTGACAAGGTGACCTTTCTTCCAATCAGTATCTTTCCTTCCTTCCAAACTTTCTGAAAGACTGTTTCAGGCGATAGTCTATTTAGGACTCCTTTGAAGTGATCAGCACATTGTTTCCTTTGTTTCTCCTCTTGGACAGCGACGTCCCCTTGACTATTTGTGTTTATCTCTTCCGAAATGGAGACCTGGTCAACTGATATAATGTTCTGAGGTCTCTTTTAGCTGAAGCCTGTTCTGCTTCATTCTCCAATGAGTAATAGAATCGCCTTTCGTCTCTCTTCCCGTTCTTCTTCACATTTTTATTCAGTGCGATGTACATAAAACTGTTATCCATTTTCACATTGGTTCATCTTCTGTTTTACCATCTGTCTCCCCTCTGTTAGCATCCACTTAATCGGAGAGAGCCATTCCTTGTCTTTCCCCCTCTTTCTTCTAAAACAGCTACATATGTTTGCTTAAACATCACTTTCACAGAGAATAATAACTGGAACTCTAATATCAGTCAGCTTTTCCAGTATCTGCTGTGACACGAATTCTACCCTCTCTACCAATGGTACATAGGTTCAACATACAAGGATAACATATAGTTTCTAACTCCCGTTAGCATCATCTGAACTAGAAACAAATTTGAAGACGTCTCTCGCATTGTGGTTTACAAGCTGTTTGTATAGTGATTATAAGAGTTCAACTAGCCACTTTGCATCTCCACGATGGCTGAAATTAGCTAATTTAACTGGATATCCTTCACCTGAAATCACTGTAGAAGTCTACTGCATTCAACATAAGGAACATGATATGGATCTTCAGCACTACTGCCAAATGAGTGCTTCCATATAGTTTAGAGACTTGGTGCGTCACAGAAAGTATTTCCAACAGTCTGTGGCAGACTTTCACCAACAGCTGCCTTCTGTTCATACAGATGGGTGGCCAGAGAGAATAAACAGTAAGAAATTTTGACAGTGAACCAACCAAGAACTTATCACCCACTAAATATGGAGAAAGAAATGCAGGTGAACTGGACATATCCTGAGGAGATCGTTGATTGATATGGCGCGCCAGGCCGTCGAGTAGAATTCGAATGGAGGCACAGAGAGTTGAGCATCCGAGGGTGACATGGAGGAGATCATGTGAAGAGGAAATGAAACCTTATGGGCAATCGTGGAAGCACTTTAAAAAAAGATTGCAGAGAACGGGGAAAAGTGGAGATGTGCTGTTGAAGCCCTATGTTCCACTCGGAACTCAAGGGAATAATAATAATAATAAACTGTGAACCTATTCTATCGTTTAAAGTTCACATGAGATAGAACCAGGTATTTGATTAATCCTAAATAGAAAGAAATACACATGCCTAATTCTGTGGTTAATCTATTTTAGTATACTTAAAGCATAACTAATGAATACAATGACAAAAGTTTATCGGTGGATTACATTCGTTTCAATTCGTTTAGTTTCAAACAATGTCAAACGTCATTCCAGTATTTCGATGACACAGATCCGGCTAAAGAACTTCTGTCAACCATTTTGAACATACTTCAACTATTCATACCAAACAGGTTGTGTGTTTATTATTTACGGGGTGGGGTTACTAGCCTCATGCTCAGCCTTCCCTCTTTACCGGTCTTATTATCGGTTTAGCGACGTAAAGGAGCACGTTGGGCTGCGTAGCATAGTCAGTAGAGTATGGTGCAGTGCAGCATATCATGACACAGTACTGTATAGTAAAGTATAGTACACTTAGTATAGTGTAGTGTAGTATGGTACAGTATGGTGTGAATATATTCAAATTAACAATCAAGCATGTATGTAGCTCGCATTCAGTACGCCCATGTAAATTAAATTACATGAATATATTTAGTATGAATCACATACTGAATAAATGTTGTTCGTAACATTAAAGTTGTATGAGTAATCCACGTCTGCTTGATTTCTTATGCAATTATAGGAGAGACTATATGAACTAAGATACAACCTAAAATAAACCAATGATTTTTGAAGGTAGTTCCAACAAATGGAAATGTATACGAATTAATTGCTAAACTCCACTGTCATTTCCTTTTAGGTTATGTTGAACTGAAATACCCGGTCTTTGTTGACATGTTGCCTCTTAGTATAAACTCTTCGATATGCGACTATCGACCAAAGGGCGTGTGTACTGCTCAACAGTCCGCTCCGTCCTCCTTTATGGCTGTGAGACCTGACCATTGAGAGCAGAAGACATGAAAACATTAGCTTTGTTCGATCATAGGTATCTGCGTTCTATCTCCCGTGTGAAGTGGCATAATAAGGTGAGCAACATTGAGGTTAGGCGTCGAGTGCTAGGTAAGGTGGGGAAATCAATCGACGAGACTGTGAAATTACATCGACTGAGATAGTTAGGACATGTGCTACGTATGCCTAGTCATCGCCTTCCTCGACGGGCAGTGTTAGCTGATATAGGGCCAGGCTGGAAAAGAGCTAGCGGCGGTCAAACGAAAACATGGCACCAGTCAATGAAATCCACAACAGTTAGTCTAAGCCACGTAAGAAGGTGTAGACTTCATGGTTGGGGTCCTCGGGACGGTAAAAACCAATGGTTAGAAACAATTGGTGACATAGCTCAAAATCGTTCTCAGTGGCGCAGATGCATCCACTCCTTGTGACTTATGATTTCCAATTAAACTGTTTTGTTCTTCGTTATTACTATTCCTTTGTCTCACACCTCTGTTTACTGTCTATATTATGCATTTCTCCTACTTTCTTCTCTTGCTTTGTGTGCTACAAGAAGGGAGTGTGGCGACTTGAAATGCCGCACATATGTGCAAAGTTCTATGTCGAAAACCGACCGACCGACCGACCTCCGACCATGTCTCTAAGGATTACTTTGAATTTATTTGGGCTTATGGTGACTATCAGTGGGATGTCCTGTGCGTAACTCGCCAGCCGGATGTGCTTGCATTCCAACTGAGTGATGGTGCTCCCACTGAGACTGGCATCCGTACACACTTACCGTTTTACCTGTCAAATAGAACAGAATGCGCATCCTGGATTCCACTGCTAGACACCAACAACCAAAATAACTAAACTCCAAGCTGTTTTTTTATTGCCACTTCACATCTTTTCGTCTAGTGGAAAGGATAAAGTGACCTTATAAGTTCATCATAGTGTTATGGCCAAGTGGCCAAATTAAGTATGCACTATAGGTGACAACAATAATAATAATCACTCTTTTTCTGAGTGATATCTATGTTTATGAACCCTTTTATATTTGTCATAACACATACTTTGTGAATAAAGACTACCTTGAATCTATTATACTACTTACTTAGAAAAGTGGTGATAGTTAGATAGACATGTAGACATACGCACACACGCACACACACACATACACACAGTTTTGAAGGCTGAATGTGCACCATTAAGAGTCATATTCACATGATTGTCTCTCTCTCTCTATCATTCTGAGTTAATTTTGCACATACACTGAAATAAGGATTTCATCATCCACTTACTCCGTGATATGGCTGAGTACGATGGCTTTTCAACACTATGCACTATATATAAAAAGAGGTATATATAAATATGAGCTGAATTCATCCTATTATATGTATTGTATAACCAAATCACTTCATCTCCTGTTACCGTGATCATATCATAATAGATTTATTCTGTTGTACAAGTGAATAATAACATTTCGTGAAATAATTAATAATTGGTGTAAACATTAAATTTAAATTTAAAAGCATAGTTTGTTGAACTTTAAACAATATTATTATAACCTTGAACGAAAAATCATCAAATATGTATGATCAAACTGAAGTGGAGTATCTTGTCAATCTAATAATCAGTACACAGAAATCTGCAAAATCTGCTTTATCCTATAAAGATTATCGTAGTTCATCGTACGATTCACGTTTCCCTGCATCCACAGTGCCATCACTGACACAACTGGAGGCAACACCAGAATCCTCCTCCTCATCCCTAAGTAAGTTAATACATTATTATTATTATATTATTGGATGGATATATGATTTTCTTAGCTTTTTTACCTAAGCCAACTCACTTTTAATCAGATTACACAACCATCAATAAAATGCATTTCATCAGAACAGGATCTCATGATGATGTTATTCTAATCTCGGAAACAGTTGACAGCAACAGTCCACGGCAGCTACATCATTTATCTTATCAGTTGAGGTTTCTTCGTGGTAGGAAGTATTGTAGAAATTTGTAAATTACTGATAAGTAGGCTACATTCAGCAATGTTCATCGATTTGTACACATGGAAAAAAATAAATAAATAAAATATGCATTTAATAAAATAGTCGTTATGTAACATAAACATCGAAGTAAGCTTTGGCTATGATGCAGATCGAGAATAGTCACCGACTTGGGAAGTAAACAGTGAGTGTTTTATGCCTTGAATCTGTTAATTTAACTTTTATATGATACATGACAATAAGGAGTGTTAATACTGAACATGTACTCACCATTTTCAAATGCATTCTGACAACTTAGGTGTTATTTATACCGAGTGATGGCACTTGGGATGTTTCTAGACTTTCCAAATGCATTCTACCTCATATGTGTTTGAATAGCGTCAACACATAACGAATACTATCACTTCCTATACCTTAAATTCTTGTGTCATCTTTCTAGTTCACAATAATATAATACTCCCTTTTCCTTAGTGTTCTTTACATTTTTACAATATGGTAATTACGCTGTATCTTTAAAACCACTCCTCTTCTGCGTTCGGGAATAAAAGGCAAACTGCCTAATTTCGTCTCTTCCATGTGTATCTACCAGTTTAACTGCTCCTGTGGAGCCACTTACATAGGCTGTACAATTAGGCGTGTTTCCCGTTGAATTTCCGAACATCACCCTGCCTGGTTAAGCAAAGGACAAACAAAATCTATTCGCAGCGTTATTCTGTCTCACCTTGTGAAGACAGAACACAAGATTGACGTTAATCATGCTTTCAGGGTCATTTACCGTATACCTACGAATCTCAGTTTTGCCTTAAGAGTTCGACTACTAAATATTGCTGAGACTGTGGGGATCCATATTAACAAGCCTAATTTGTGCATCCAAAAGAAGTTAGTTCAGACTTCATCATTACCTTAGCCATCCAGGTTTGAATAATCCGAAATTTTTGTGAAATTTCTATTCTATTCGCTATTATATCTTTATTATTATTATAATTTAAGCATCTTTAATGAACTGTAATTGCATTGATCATACTTTACAAATCAATATTATTTAAAAGACACTAATATTGTTATTAACTACTAATCTAGAATATTCTGTGTATATAAACATATATATAATTGTAGAGCCTGGAAGAGGAATTTATCGAAAAGAATATTCTTTGCTCGATTACTTTGTGTTTTATAGATGTCTGAATGAATATTTTTGCAATATGGTATCAGTTTTGAATATTTCAATTTCTAATCGTTTTAAGTACATCAGTCGGTTTGATGCATTGAACTCTTCAGTTTCAATTACCATCTTATGCATACGTTAGTACCTTTTAAGTTTTATATACTATACCTATTGCTTAGTTTTCATTTCCTCTATGATTCTGTGAATTTCACATTTCTCATGACAGTTCAAATCAGAGAACATTCAAGTATTATGATAGATCTTTGAATCCACTTGAGATAGCCTGAAGTAGAATGGATAGTGCTCTCATGAGAAAGAGTAACATAAAGGTGACTTCGGAAATCGTTCACCAGTATCATGAAATAATTGGAATTTGATTCGGAAAATAATTTCTCCTGAAAATGTAGATATTTTTAAAATATGAGAAGGTATTCTCCCAGAAACGGACTTTCGTTTGCCAGATGGTAGCAGTCAGACATTCATCAAAATTAACAGTTCTAGTTAATTTCATTTGGTTTCAGCAATTGACTTTCAGTCACTGCTTACGAATCTTATCCGGGAGAATTTAGTTTGGCTGACTGAGTAGTAGTACCACAAGATGTCACACATGCTATGTGACTCATAATTTGACACATGTAGAACCTCAGCTCTGAGTGACTAGTCACACTGCCTGTCAAGAGATTTATTTACCACCTTATGAACCACACGTAATGCTTGACGATTGGTGATAATATTCAGCTGCCCAAGCTGAATTTGGTGGGACAGGAATCAGACACCAGATCCATTGGGATAATGTCAGGTGTTAAAGCCGATGAGATTCACTAGAATAGGTGGCGTCTAATTCTATAATCTTGAAAAATCTGAAAAATTGGTTTAAAATTCAATTTCTCATTCTCGAAAAATATCGACATTTCCGATAAAAATTATTCTGCTAAATAGATTTCAATTTAGTAATAATAATAATGGGTTTATTCTGAAAAGTGCGTTCGCATACAATACAGAATTTTTAGCAGGTTTCTTCGCAAAGTATTTACTTCTTGTGCAGAATTTTCAAATGCTATAATAATCGATAATATATCATCTGAAGCAATATTTTTCCATTCATAGTATGCTCAAATGTTAATTCACAGTGTTCTTCCATGATTTCCTTTACAAGAGTTGCCTAGCGACAGGTAGAAACTTATTTGAAATTGTGCGCGAGTATAAATTGTGACTCATTATGGTAATTAGAAGATTGAAACAACTTGTTGCATGTTTACCTGCAAAGCTTTCATTGTCTTTTTAGACAACATCTTCAGCGCCAACTTCAATATAAAGTGAACTTATTTGAATTCTTCCTAAATATGCGTCGACGGCACAGCAGTTAGGAGTCTCACCGATCATGCACATGGTTCGTGGTTCGATCCCCTGCCGACGCACATCTGATATTGATGGTCGGCCTGCAAAATTTGGGCTATCGATATCACATGCTGAAAATCCCATACTTGTACGAAAAATACGGTGTGGAATCAAGCTATAATCAAAAAAATATATTAATAAACTGATGTCTGTACTGAAGATGTTACCTACAAGGACAATAAAAGCTTGGCAATTAAACCACTGAGCTTAAAACTATGCAACTATATCAAAATAATCCACCTGAGCTACAAATGTAGAGTGTACTATGACTTCAAACGTCATCGGATATATGAAAGCTGTCTGACAGTTTAATCTGGCACAAACACAAAGATCTGAACACTGTAGCCTTACCACACACACACCCGCCTCCGTTTATTACAATACAGTGTATAATACAAAAGTTTGCACGCTGTTGTTGAATTTCATCTCTAAAACGGCTATTTCAACAATAAATTATCTCATGATAAACAGTCTTGTAGATGCAGAAAAGGCATATGATTTCACAAAGTATTTTGCTTTCTGTGTTTTTCTGTTTAAAAATTCAAGTTTTGTGTTTTATCCCTCAATGGGAAATGATGCAATTCATAATCGGTGTATCCTCAAAACAGTAATTTCAATGTGTTTCTCAATAATAAGTAGTTTGCAAAACATTTTCTAAAAAAACAGTCACCCTCAGTAGTATTAAAAATAACCCGGAAAATATTGTACCGTTTGAGTTGAATTTCATGCTATTGTACCCATTGATAAAACTAAGCAGAACAAGAACACGTGTAGCAGGACACTATGAGATCATATTTTATCGATTCACGGATTCTGTCCAACTGCTTACAACACTTAAACAGTAGCAAAATATGAGAATGACAGAACAGCGTTTGAACAAGGTTTTAACCAGTTGATAATAAATGGTTGATAGGATCTGTCAATAACACCATTTCTGAATGATGTTAGTGTTGAAAGGTTTGATCAAGAAATGGGAGACTAAGTGGTTCACAGGCACAAAATGATGCAACCGCAACCCATCGATTGCCACTGGTCATATAGCGGACAGTCTGAAATTGTTCGAAATAATCAGCCGCTAAAAGGAATCTAGCCTGCTACTTTTTTGTTGAAGTAATCGCCACCAGTTAACCAAAGACAACTCTCTCTATGCACGTGGAAAGCGACAGCAGTTAATCTTGCACTACCTTCATGATTATATACTTGTAAAACAAATGTATTTGACTTTTATTCATGTATTCTTCTATATCTTCTGTTGCGTTGAAAAATTTCTTTCATTTGAAAGTTACCCATTCTACTCTTTTTACCATTGTGAAATATTTTTATAGTCATACAACAACCCCTTCCTAGTCAAACTTTGTTCCTGTGATAAATTTTGAACTCTGTAGTTTTTATAAATATTCGTGTAACTCTCCTATAAGTTTTCTATTGTTGGTTTGTAAGGATTAGTCTTGCTTTTACGAGTCGGTCACGGATTGATATCAGTAAGAGAACTATTGAAAACCAGCACTGGAGTAATGGACAGCTGCTGTTTCATCTCTTATAAGTGATTACTCAGTTTAAAACCTAATATTCAATGAGATTCAATTAATATTCAATGAATATCAATGAGATGCTCACTATCGACTTGCCCTATTCAGGTAGGTAGTTACCTGGGGTTCTAGTGGGAAGCCGTGACCAGTAGGGTGCAGCAGGTCGAGTGTGAGGACAAATACTCGCCGAAGACATTGGCTAGGGGTCGCGCTATGTCGTGAATTGGCAGAAGTTAGAATTCATGGGCCATTGGATCGGGTCCCAGTGGCTGAATGGTATACGAGCTCGCCTTGTAACCAGAAGGTCCTGGGTACGAACCGTGTAGGTGGGTGCGTACTGCTGAAGAGTCCCAAACTAGGACGAAACAGCTGTTCAGTACTCCCAGGTTTTCCAGTGGTTCTCTAACTAATGTTGGCTCATGATGAAAATCCTTAAAACTTAATAATTTAACTATTTACACTATTCTGGACTTATGTTACTTATAGTTCCTATGCACATAACTTGTTGTCAACGTATTTTCTGTTATAAACAGCTGTGAAGACTCTACAAATTGGCAAGAAAAAATAACTGACTTTATCCTGCTACATCTGTTGTTCTCCCTTTAAGTTTAAAGTAAACTACTGTAACAGAAAAATTGTTTGGGAAGTCCCAGTCTAATCACAACATCTATGC